CGCCACGTACGCGTCACCCATATCCGAACAGCCAACTGCCTGAGACCGCGAGTTCACAGCACCACACATTGTGGTTGTGCAACCCCGACCGCACAAGGAATAAGCGTACCCGCATGCGTTATAGGCTTAATATGCCAACCTCGCTACTGCACACATAAAGACCAAACTGCACATCTTATCATCCGTAAACCTTTGCACAATAACATCACCGCTTGATAATACAAGTTACGGCAAACCGCGCCTCTACACCTCAAAAACATACTACGCATAGATTCCCCAAGCAAAGTTCATCACTGCAACCACTGTCTGAAAACGCATTGCGTCACTCGCACAATAAAAACCTGTTTACTAGCTGCACCTTCTTGTTGCTGTACGAAGGGCACACGTGCACAACTCTCTGCAGGCTTTTCAGCTCCACCACGGAGAACCTCACATCCTCCACTGTCTTGTGCAGCTGCGTACATCCTGTGAGCTTGCACCTCCCAGCCTTCTCATAGTACCTCACATATGCGTACCCCTTCCAATCCCCATCACGGTCAACCGCCCTGAAGATGCACAGACATCTTGCATACCAGTCCCCACCCTTGTCATTGAGCAGCGCCACGTCCGAATACCACTTCTCTCGGGGCGACGCCTTCACAAATGTCCCTTTGGCCACCAGCTCGCCGCCTCTTGTGCGCGGAATGGCCACCGCCGTGTGGACCTGTCACACCATCCCAGCCAAACCAACAACACGTGCACATCATGAGTGCGGTAAGCACCATCATGTAAAACTACAAACGGCACATGGCCGCCACATTGTAAGCACTTCACCTGCACGCTGTTGGTAGCCAGACCGAACGTCTTAAACTCATCAGCCAAACCCTTCATATCGTCTCCCAGCGCGGTGATGTACTCATCGTACACCGGATCCGACGCTCCGCCTATCCGCATTGTCCGATACTTCTTCGTGAGCACCGGTTTCTTCGTCTTTATTGCCTGCACGTAACACACGCATTCACACAACGAATCACACGATGTTTGAAGCACGCCTCCACCCCGGTGTACGGTGTACTCTGAACTACCCACACTGGCCATCATCGTCGCCAAAACCCCCTAACACACCTCACGCAAGGCGGACGCGTACTATCGCCCACCCCCAGCGTCCGCCGCCACCTCGCGGTACACCTCGCGCTGCACCTCCTCCTCCACGATTCGTCGAGGTATGTCGCTCCAATTGCTCCCTCTTACTGGACCCTTCACCGTGCCCTTGTGCGTGCGCTCCCACATTTCAGTTGAATAGTGGTGCGGCATCCCACGCTCCTTGACGCTGTCCAGCAAATGTCTTATCATGTGTATCTTAGGGAGCTTCCAGTGGGATGCCTGCGTTGAAAATGCCTTCGGTAGCAACGCCACCAACCTGCAACGACACCCCCGACAAGGCACAACACTCGATGCATCATCGTCTATTACCACCTCAAAATAGCCGTGCAATCTCAAAGCATATCCTCCCATAAATCCGAACAACCCCACGCCGTGGGGTATACAAGTACTCACGCTATCGCATGCTGCCGGGCAATCGCAATTGTCGTATGTGTGTGCCTGTCAACCCCCAGAAACGCCTTGTAAAACACTGCAAACAGCCGGAACGCTTTGACCTGCAAAGCACGCAGCTCTCCGGCCGGTCCACCCTTCAATGCACTCTCGTCTGCCACCAGTAACGGCATTATCTGCATCATGCTCCTGTGCTCGAACGCCGCGTAGTTTGCGCCAGAACTGAAGAACGATGATCCCCCAGGGATACGGAGTAGAACGCTAGGAGTGAAACGCTTGAACTCCTTCTTGCGGCTGCGCACATACATAGTACGAAGTGGTCATCCTCTGACACACATGGGGGCCTAGCCCCCAACTACCCACTGCAGAGTAGAGCTGGCTATCGCTCTCACACCCGACTAAACCTGGCTCACCTTTCAAGCAGCCGCATCTCAACCTTTCCAAGAGGTTCGATGTAGGTGTCCATCATGTGGATCAGCACACCGGAGTCCAGAACGTGCAGTGTGTCTGCTAGGCATGCCAGGTAAACGTTTCCCCACTTTGTGTCTGCGAAATTCCACCTTTGAAGCACGCACTGCAACCATCCAACAGATGACACAATGTTGTCAAGCAGTCCACATGATATACAGCCCCCTTTCAGTACACACCACCAAATTGAGCAACAGCAAACACACCTCGATCGGATGTGTTGACCATAACTTCCGCACATCGTCTGCCTCGCCCTTCTTCTTGCACGCCAAAATCTGACGAACAATGTCCCTCTGCTTCGCGGGGGTTCGTGTATCAGCCTTCCCCACCATCATGGTCAACTCCCCCTTCACTGCATAGCAGTTAGCGCATGGCCGATGCGATCCTTGCTGAAGAGTCGCGGAGGCTCTGCTGGATTCCGGGAAGTCGGCAGGGTATCCGTACAGGCAAGGGACCGCCTTGTGCACCTTCCCGTCCGCGTCTGTGCAGTAGAAGAAGCATACTGGCGCGCTGCATAGTGACGCAATGCACACATAGTGTTCACTTAGTGATGGGTCGTACGCATATCTCCCAATAGGGTGGCTATTAACTGGGGTGCCCCCCCCTTCCCCACCCGTGTAGCGTTATCATCCCCACCCCCCTCCCCTCCCAGTACCTGGCAGACTCTCGCATGATGGGCGCGAGTATTATCTTCAGGGCCTCCTGGAACACGCGCGTCTTCTCCGTAGGCGAAGCCCACTCAGGCGGGAATGGAAGCACCGCCGCCAATGTGTGCCCGGGCTCCACTCCACGCAATTCTTCGGGTATGTTGATGAGTGAGATCAGCACAGGCCACGCGTTCCTTCGTCCATTCCGTGATGCCCGCGTGCTATCACTGTATATCAGCACGCCTAGTACGAGTGCCTGGTCGTCATTAATCTCCTTCTGCCATGTACAGCGCGAGATGGGTGAGCGTTGTGACACCACGCTCAGCTACCAGTATGTGCGACATATGACAACGGAGCATCAAACATGTGCGTACCTGAGCAGAGTGCATCCAATCACCTGTCTCCGGTCCTTCAAATACCCTCTCGTTGTTCTTCTTCCGATAAAGCTTCCTCGGCCTCTAAACGAACCCCTTTTTGGATGAGAACGTCCGCACCAGCTTCTTCAAGATCTGTGTGCGTCGCGTATAAACGTGGGTGAGAACATGATGCGGGCCAACATCATCTACACGTCACCCCGACATCGCCGACCAGGTTGGCCTCCCATTACGTACCAACTCGGTGTCTCGGAAGTGCAGTAGCAGCTTCGTTTGCAGTCCTTCGTTCGGACCCGTCACCACTATCTCCTCCGTTTTCCACGGGACCATGTCGGCTGGAGCTCGCGCCATGCCCCAGCGGCGCACATCCACCCAGTTGCGCCATCGTCTGAGTGCCCTTAGGTTGAAGCGAGGGTTGCGGAAAATGTGTAGCAGACGGTTAACTTCCCTGTGCGACAGATCGGCATCACGGAAAAACAGGTACAACTCTGTCAGTGTATCAAAAATCTCCGTCCTATCGCTGCCTTCTGAAGACTCGGCGTTAGCACCGTCAGATGGTGTATCCGCGTCGCCAACCACACTAACTTCGGGAATCGAGACCGTTGGAGCAACGGACACAAAGCTGCCTTCATTATTTTTAAGCCTGGATGCCGGTGGGGTGTTTGGTCTACTCTCTCCGTCGCATGCAACGGCTTCCAAATATGCTGCCCACAAAAGTCGTTCACGCTTCATCTTCAACTCCTCGCGACAAACAGCCCCATTCGCTACATGAGACTGTAACCTGCTGTCGTCCTTGAACACCGTCTTGCACACCAGGCAACTGTTCCCCGCCATCCTTCAGCCGTGAAACCCTAGGGATTGCGGCTGTGAAAACCCTGCCAAGTACCTCTGGTGCACTCTAATACAACATAGATGGGCTTGTTCGGGCACACACATGTGCAGGAACCGCTTCGACCGCGTTACAGTGAATGGAACAACTGTCTTATGTGAGTATGTTTTGTAAAAAATCTACATGTAATAAGGTCACACCAGTACAACATCCATTACAATAAATTATTTAACATACTAGTACTTTCCTCAACTCTTTCCGTGCCCACTTATAACATTGCGTACCTTCATTACATTGTCATATCGATTCATGATTGTTTTGGTAAACGAACTCCAACGTTGACTGACGTAATAAAACACTTTGTTATCGCGTTTACTAGTTCACCGAGTTTAATAATATCGCGATGGAACACCTATCCCAATGTTCACCCTACGGCGTACATCGTTACCGTTTTTCGCGTCATTCGGCCTCCATAGGCTAAAATTCGGGCTGCAGGTACACGACCCCACCTTCGCTTGCATGCATCGGCTTGGTAACCCGCCTTCAACCTTCGACCACATAATCCGAAACCCTAGGCTTAGCACACGTGGATCTGCATGGCGCTGAACCATCACAGCCTCTCGAGTGGTCGCATCACACCTGTCCATCGCATGCACCCTTGCGCCAACGGTGTAGATCATCGCAGCTCTACATGACGGTTCCACCAGCTGGGCATGACACAACAGGGTCACGCCTTGCTCTCTCCTTCCTTTTCCATAGTATCCTTATCGCGAGCGTGAACCGTCGCTGTGTTCATCCAGCCATCCCCACCGTGCTCACGTTTTAATCAGCCAGCGTAGTCCGTTTAATCGTCATTGTTAGATGATGATGGCGAATCCTAAGCAGTTGACATCTAAGCGCAACAGGTTCTATCAACCCGAGACTAGCAGCAGCTCCGAAGACCAAGATCCTGCCCCGCCAGCGTGCAGAACCAGGTCGTCGAAAAAGGCCGAGTCTAAGATGAAGAATCCTGGGCCGAACCCGCGGACTAAGGACTCCGGAAGGGCCCGGAAGTTCGCGACTCATAAAGAGGGCACGGATCGGGAGCCGGTGCCGGAAGATTTGGTGGCCCTTGTCGCACAGAATTACATGAAGTCGTCGTACAGAAACATGACGCTGATAAATCACCGCGGTGTCGGGTGTGAGGTGGATAAGGACGACCTCATGTCGATCGAGGATGATCAGTGGATTACCGATGGCGTGCTCGACTTTCACAACGTGTAAGTCTCGTCCTGGCGGTCACCTGGTAGACGCTTTGCTGCGTAGTATCAGATGTCTGGGCAACGTATGATGTGCATAAATTTACTTGTTCATGAACTGTGCAGGCTGCTTAGCATCCGGAAGCCGAAGCTCCGTGACGGGAAAACATGGGCTGCCTTGGACTGCAAGGCGTACTTCCAGACGAACACGTGTGGAGCGCCTTTGACGCTGGGTAACGGGCTTCCGCTACTGGAGCACGACTACCTCACGATCCCTGTGCTAGAGGGGTACGTATCGTGCATATCCGGTTAGTTCCGCGGATTTTTTTGCAAGTCACTGATGATTGTCTAACCCTAATCCCAACATACCCTCTCATGTTGCGCGTAGTGAGCACTACTCGCTCGTCATCGCTATATCTCCATCGGTGCTCACCAAGCCCGCGGAATCTCCCGGCAAAGAGCGAATGAAGTTGGTCTTGCTGGACAGTAGCATCAAGACAAGGAATACCCGGAAGATTTTTGCTGGCACCAAGCTGTGAGTACGGGTTTAAGAGTTGACGTTGAATGTAGTTGTACATCCCATTTGTTGTTTTGACGAATTCGGCCTATACCGTGCAGTGTGCTGTCCGAACTTGCCAAGGCGAGTAACCCTGACGCGAACATGGAGTTTGTGGACAAGCAGCTCGCGGAGGCGGATTGCATAATATTACGGGTGAGAACACCATTGAGTGCGCATACCGGTGTGCGGCTTGTTTACGAGGGTGGACGGATTGCTAACTGTAGTGTGCGCTTGCGGAATTGCAGGAGGATAGGCTGCCATAGCAGCCGAACAAGAAGGACTGTGGGATTTTTGTTTGTCAGTACCTTGAGACCCTGGTGAATACCGACTTCACCACGGTATTGAGCGGTCTCTGGTTTCAGGGTGTGACCCCGCACCAATACCGGCGGGAGATGCGGCGCGACTTGTGCGCACACGCGTGCGGAGATCTTATTCGGCAGCTGGAAGAACTGGGGATCGAAATCCCTCCGCAGGACGCAGGCCGGGTTACAGAGGGGGGGGCATTGGTACGGGAGAGGACCGCTGGTGTGGAAGATGTGAGGCAAGCACCGGTCACTCAAGCCGGGGATGACGCACGGGTAACGGAGATGATGAGGGATATGGCGATTTTGAAGAACGATGTGAGGCACCTGGACGCGAGCTTCACCGTCATAGCCAATTTTGTGGGATTGAGGCGCGACGAGGTGGTGTCCGCTGCAACTCAACTACTGATGCAAGGTAACCCCGTGGGACCCGGGGCGAAAGCAGAGGCAGGTGGCCCCAAGAATGCTCCACGTACTCCACAGCGTCCATCTGGTCGTAAGAGGCGGGACGACAGCAGTCCAGAGGAGGATGGCGTACGCAATGCCACCCGGGTTGCGCTGGCCTCCTCGTTCGCTGCATGTGATCCGACAGCGCGCTTGCTGCAGAACCCGCTGCTGACGGGAGGGACCATACCTCACTGGATGTTCACCCGCGGGAGATCGCTGCTCGGGGCGACTGTGCCGGCTGGAGCTGATGCGTGGGGAGGTATGAGAGGCTATGAGACGGTGAAGGCCGAAGAAGAGGAGGATCTCGTGTCAAACACGGAGGACGAAGAGGATGGAGACGACACGTGTGCCACCAAGTACACAGGAGTCAAGTTGGAGAAAGCATCCGGCAAGTACGGCGTGAAGATACTGATCAAGGAAGGAGGAAAGCGTAAGCAACAGCGGCTGGGAGCCTACACCTCGGAGGAGGAGGCCGCGTTTGCGTACGCCGCAGGTGCGTTCGTCCTGAGGCCACGAGACAAAATACCCAACACGGTCAGTCTGTCTGTCGCAGAGAAGGCGATGCTGCGTGGATGCATCAAGGAAGATCTGCAGCTCCTGGTGGAAGCGCGGAGGTGGTGGAGGTGGCGTAGCTGGAGGGAGGCGCGGGAGAGCGTGAGCACGAAGCTGAAACGAGGGAGGAAGCGAGGAGTTGCCACAGGGACGTCAAAGAGGCAGAGGGTGGTGGATAGCAACAACACGGCGGCCAACGAACCAGACGACCCTGACAATGCTGAGAGTGGGGGAACGGCCCCTGTGCACAACGGCATCGGCGGGTGTGCAAGGAACAACGAACAAGAAGAGGGGGTGGAAGACTCTGCTGCACATGAGAAGACGTCAGCCCCTTCTGCATAGTGGATGTAGAGTCGTAGACGTCCAAGAGACACGTGGGTGTATGTAGTGTTTTGCGTGCTCTGCGGTTAGAGTTTTTTTTCGCGTCATATTGTATGCTTGTATGCATGTTTGATGAATGCGAAGGCGGTTGCGTACACAATGTAACCGTAGTGGTCTTTACCTTGTGTTCTTGGGTTAACGTGCAATTTGGGTGATGTATAATGGAAGGATTTACGTCTACAACGTGTACCGTGAATACGTTGTGGAGACGTGATGGACACACAAACGAGTTCCAAGGATACGGTTGTGTCACCAGGATGTGCACGGTTTGTGGTTCATGTGTGCACACATGTACAGGGTGGCGGATGACGTGGAGTGCACGTATTAGTCGTTTCGGATTGCGGTCATCCAAATGGCCACGACGTCGTAATGCCTACCCAACTCACTGCCCAGGTTGGTCTCCGGTGTGGTAAGAAGTTGAGCGGGAAATATACGTAGAAATATAGAACCGAGCGTCATTCTGTGAGCATCTCAGTGGATACTTTTGCTGCTACAATGGATACTTCTCTTGCTTCAGAGGATACTCGGACTGGAGGGCGCTCCCGTCGTGTGTCACACCCGCCGGCGTACCTCCGAGCGTCGTATCAGCTGACAATGCCGCGAGGTCGGATGTCGAACGGGAAACGCGCCCCGACACTGCCTAAGCGTCTGAGCGTGGCCAAGAAGGGAAACGAGGTGGTGCAGCAGGAGCAAGGTATGCAGCAACAGCGAGGATGGGTGACGCGTTGTATTAATGCGTGTGCCTGTACTGTCTCTACGTCTGAACCCCCGTGTACAACAACTATAGCTGACATGTGGTACCGTGCTTTTCTGGTGCTTCATTAACCTCGCAGATGATGGCACTGGTGCCGAGAGTGCAGATTCGTCCGCGCGCAATGACGAGGATGACGAGGCAGACTCAGACACGTCGGCATCAGGCTCACCAGAGGAATCCGGCGAACGGGTCACGGGGGGGAAGACGGGCGACGATGGGTGTGCGGGAACCGCTTCACCCAAAGCCGACGTGCGCGAAAGTCGGGGCGCGCGGGAGACGGATGTGTTTCGAGGCGAAGGCCGAGGACATGTGGACGGACATGTGGACCGCTCATGCGGGACCCCAGTGGACACCGACGGCGACGACGTGCGCATCTCGAGCAGGGTCCTCGAGCAACTCATACGGGCCCAGGAGAAGAGCGCCAATGAGAACGCGCGTTTGGAGGCGCTGTTCTTGAATGCAATGGCGCGGCCTTCTGGTGGCTCTCGTAAGCGCAAGGCTCGGAAGCAGAGAGACCCGGAGCAGGGGTGCATGAACCCGAAGCGTCAGCGTGGCGATACATGGAGCGGCGGGTCGGACGATGACGGAGAGGACGACGAGGAAGATACGCATGGTTCTGGTGGCCGTCAACGGAGAGGACGACGAGGAAGATACGCATGGTTCTGGTGGCCGTCAACGGAGAGGACGACGAGGAAGATACGCATGGTTCTGGTGGCCGTCAACGGAGAGGACGACGAGGAAGATACGCATGGTTCTGGTGGCCGTCATATGCGTACAGCAAAGTCTCCTATTCTGCAGCGCGCGTTGGAGCATCTGCCGACTGACAAGGCGTGGAAGGTGAGCGGGCATGTTTCCGAAAGGGTTCAATAGTCACGGACCGGATTGGGTTGCAATGTGGGTCCGTTGATGGTCCCGGTGTACGCTGATGTTGTTAATGGTGTATACATTGTGTGCGCAGAGGGTTTGCGAGCTGGCCAGGGTTCACATGTTTCTCAACAGGCCAACGTCGACGATGACCTTCTACCCGAGCAGCGACGATAAGACTCACGGAGTGTGCGCGGTGCTGGACTGCCTGCCTCACAGCTTCGCCTGTTTGGCGTTGGCGGCTGACAAGTCTCGCCGAGCGGATCTCAACAAGACGCTGTCTGAGTGGAAGACAAGGGCTGCCGCTCGCGTGCGAGACATTGCACTTCCCAAGCTCGGCCTGTTCCGTGACGACAGGGACGGATCCAGCCCGTGGGCACCTGAAAAGGAGCGTAGTATCGAGAAGATAAGGGAGCGCATTGGGCTTGGCGCTGACCCCCCTGGTGAGTGCAGGAGACGCGCGGTGGAGGCGTTGACTGTTTGCGGGCATGCACCAATGTGTGAATTGCGGACATTGATACTGACTCCGCGAATGTGGTGTGCAGAAACTCTAGTGCTCACGAGCTGGGCGCACGACAGGGATGGCATGCCGTTTGCCTCCCGGGCATTCGCGACATGTGCAAAGGCTGCCTTCAAGCCGAAGAAGGCAGGGCTGGTGATGACCCTTAAGGTGTACCACCTGGCCTGGTTGGAGCATGTGGTGAGTGTGTGCGCTCGATGTGTGCAATATTGTGCATCGTACTGGAAATGCATGGACTGACGCTTTGTGTGGTGGCGCAGGTCTCCGACTGCGTCCTCTACTGGGAGGAGCGGAAGGGCCGGCTCTCCAACTCGGCGGGGGGGAACGCCCACGTTGTGGATGGGCTGAAGGTCTTGGTCAAGGAGGCCGTAGAGAGGGCGATCCGTATCCGCAACCCCGAGTATGACGCGGAGCGCGAGGCGTGGATTTGGGGGCGCCATGGACTGCGCATCTCTGCGTGCGGCCTGGAGCACATGAAGCCCACGGCCGCCGCCCAGTCCGAAGACATCGTAGGGGATGACGACCTTTCGGCGTCACTTGATGCTGAGTAGACCGTCAATAGAGGATGGTGGAGGTGTTTTACATTCACCTCGCTACGGTTGACGGTACCGCTGGAGAGAGGCGTTGATGGAATCGTATGGGCTTTTGTGTGCGGGGTTTGAAGATTAGCTATGTGGGATAGGGGGTTGCATGTGTTTGATTGAGAGTTGAGGATGATTGGTGTAGTTAGGAGTTGTGTAAGTCATTGTGTGCGCCTTTGTTATCAATTGGAGAAATAATTTGGGGTATTGTTGCACAAGATAGCCCAGGCAGGTAGAGGTAGATGTACAATGCGACATGCAGGTGTGAACCCGGTGTGCGGGCGGACTAATGGTGCGCCGCACTAGGCGGCGCGATTCGCGGAGAGTTCCATATGTCGCGGACGTGCCCGTCACATCAGTGCGGGCGTGTGGCATTCCGATTGGATATCATTATGGATAAGCATTGAATTGGAACCTGTGCCGCATATGACACGCACGCATAAAACTACGCGTGTCACCCTCCAGTACGGTAGAACGATCACAGTGACGCAGAGGAGTGATGGCGTACTGGTCAGGAACTCGCCGTGATATTCGCGGTGGGTGCGACAGGTGTACTGTCACGATTGTTTCGCGCACATTGAGCGAATGAATATGGCGAGGAGATGGATGGATGGTTACTAGATGTGCGAGAGGACGATTTGAAGACAAGTGTACGGGGTAGATCGCGGATGTGAGCGTCACGTGGCTGCTCGCTGTTGGAGACTATGTGTGCTGATGGACGGTGCGGATGGAGTCGTCACCTTGTAGCGTGTGCAAAATTACTGGGTGGCGAGAGATATGGCGAAGCGGACGAAACGGTGGCGTTGCGACATTTGTACGGCGAGTGTGCAATGTTGGTTAGGGTGGATATGCATGATGCGCCCTACGATTGATGCCAAGTGGGAAAATGCTAGTGGGTCCCGTACCCGTGATATGCGACGTGCGCACCGGTGGGGTGCGTCCAAGTGTCACGTATGTACAGGCTGAGTGATGAGGAGATGGACGGAGAAGATGTGCGCGCGATGTGTCCGCGATCATGAGCGATGTGCTGCTCGCGAAGCTGTAACATAATGTGCGAGTAGCTGCCCGGGCGACACGTGAACCGTCGCGATTGCGTGAACAAACGGTATATCCAACGGATGGGGTGCGGGTACGTTTTGGTGGGTGTACGCTTACGTGGAGCTTTGGGTTGATACTGGATGCCACGTGGGTTGGCGCGTACGGAGTGGCAGTTGGGGTTGCGTAGTTGTAACTTTCTAGTTGGTTGGATAGGTTAGGTTAGGTAAACTTTCATGTGGTGCAGACAGTTACGGTTAAGCAACGACAACGTAGCGGGTGTAGTATCTGATTTGATACACGCATGTGTACAGAATGCAACGGAATAGTGACTGGGTAGTTGGTTTGGCAGTTACTGTCGGTATGCAGTTCTAAAACCTTGACTTGAAAGTGCCGGGCAAAAAATATCGGGAAAGTTGCGGGAGAGTGTATTTTGAGTTTCTTTTCGCACTTCCCCTTTTCGCGATGCCGCGCCTCCCCGCCTTCCCGTTTCCCCGCTCGCCGTGATCGCTACGCCGACTCCCGTCGCCATGAAGCCCTGCGCGCGCCTGCCCGGCCTGTGTGGCCTCGCCGCACTCGCTGCCATCAGCTTCCTCGCGACCCACGACAGCGCTGTTGGTGAGCAGGCTGACTGCCGCACGCCAGTGGCCGTAGACTTGCATTGCTGGCGTGTGGATGAGTGCTGGAGTGCGCTTGAGCGACGCACAGTCAAAAGCAGAAAATGTCTTGCTTTAACGTTGCTTCTGTGCTGATGTTGCACCTCTTTGCCCCTACTTGAAACAATATCAATTTCTGTGCAGACCTGTGTGCTTTCGTGGATTGTGGAGAAGCCACCTGCGCTGTTGATGTAGACATTGGCATACCCCTGTGCGTGTGCAAGGATGGATTTGTATTCGACATCGACCACAAGACGTGTGTCGTGGGTGAGTGCTGGTGTGTGGGCGAGTGCTCGTGTGTGGGCGAGTGCTGGTGTGTGGGTGAGTGCTGGTGTGTGGGGAAGTGCTGGTGTGTGGGTGAGTGCTGGTGTGTGGGTGAGTGCTGGAGTGTGGGTGAGTGCTGGTGTGTGGGTGAGTGCTGGTGTGTGGGGAAGTGCTGGTGTGTGGGTGAGTGCTGGAGTGTGGGTGAGTGCTGGTGTGTGAGGAAGTGCTGGTGTGTTGGGAAGTGCTGGTGTGTGGGTGAGTACTGGAGTGTGGGTGAGCGCTGGTGTGTGGGTAAGTGCTGGTGTGTGGGTGATGAGAAACTGAACGAGAATGAATTGACTAAGGGAAAGTTGGGTACAAAATGCAAACCCTAGAAAACCGTACCCCATATGTGCTACCCCACTATAGCCTACAGTAGCTATGTCATATAAATCTGACACACCCCCATAGGCAAAGTGGGGGAGAACAAGGGGTCACAAGACCAGTAAAGCAAAGCAAAGCAAGCTCAGGGTGGATCACAAAGTCACCACACATTCCGAGCACAAGTTCAAGGCCACAAGGCCAGTTCACATGCAGGATTACATATATATATAAGGCTAGACAAGCAAGAGCAGGTGTATATATATATGCAACAGTACAAACAAGGTCAAGGGGTGAGCAAGTGAGGCAAGGTAGGCACAAGACCCAGCTGAGTACAGAAGCGCTGATGATCACAAGGCGCAAGTGCCTTGGTGAAGATATCAGCAGTGTTGGCCTGAGAGGCCACGTACGCAAGCCGCAGCTGACCACGCTGCTGTAGCTCACGAGCAAGGAAGTAGCGGAGAGCAATGTGCTTCGTTCTGTGCTCCAGTCTCTGCTCTCGACACAAGGCCAGCATGGCCTTGTTGTCTACGTACAGCACTGGAGGAGAACGAGGCGGCTCTCCGAGGTCAGTCAGCAGGTAGGTGAGCCAGCGAAGCTCCTGTGCAGCCATGGCCCCGGCGTAGATCTCAGCCTCACAACTGGAGCCGAGAACAGAAGACGAGCGGGTAGCCCGCCACGAAACAGAGACGGAACCAAGGCTGAAGGTGTAACCCTGTGACGACCGCTGCGTAGCCTGGTCGTCAGCCCAAGAAGCGTCTGCGTGCCCAGTGAGGACCACTGGACTCTGCCCTCCAAGCACAAGCCCCATGCCCGACGTACTGCACAAGTAACGCAACACCCTCTTCGCTGCAGCCATGTGCTCCGGTCTGTGTCTCCCAGGAGCAACATAGCGTGCGAGAATGCTAAGAGGGTATGCGAGGTCAGGTCGTGTGCAGGTCATCAGGTACATGAGGCAGCCAACAAGCTCTGGGTACGGGCCACTCGACTCTACGGACTCATCCGAAGGCAGAGCTAAGAGCGAGTGGCGAGTAGGCAGAGGAGTGGCCTGAAGCGAGGAGTACGTGAAGCCAAAGCGCTGAAGGACCTGCTGCACCATGTGTGACTGAGTCAGGGTAATGGTGCGGCGTGCTCTGTCCCGGGTGATCTGCAAGCCAAGGTAGCTGCGCAGTTCACCCAGGTCTGTGCACGTGTGTCTCTTCTGCAGCTCGGACTTCACGTGGGCGAGTCCAGCAGTGTCAGCTGTGGCAAAGACCAAGTCGTCGACGTACACGAGGATGTAGAACGGCGGCAAAGAAGTGTCGGTGCGCAGAAACAGCGACGGGTCGGCAGTAGAGGGAGCAAACCCAAGAGCCGCAAGTGTAGTCCTCAGTGTGTCGTGCCACTCACGCGGTGCCTGGCGGAGACCGTAGACTGGTCGCCGGAGGCTCCACTGGGTGCCAGGAGGAAAAGACCCAGTGAAGCCAGGTGGGCGACGCAGCCAGATCTCCTCGTGCAGGCTGCCCTGCAAGAAAGCAGTGCTGAAGTCAAGAGAGTGCAGCTCGTAGTCGCGGTGAGCAGCTATGTGCAGCAGTACCCGAAGAGTGGTCATCTTCGGGGTGGGAGAGAAGGTCTGAAAGTAGTCAACTCCCTGCCGCTGACTGAAGCCACGAGCCACGTAACGCGCCTTGAAGACAGGCGGAGAACCCGGCGGTCGCTTCACCCTGAAAATCCACATGCCACTGACGATGTTCGCCCCAGGCGGGGGAACCTCGTCAGCGTAGGTGCCTGTGGACTTCCAGGAAGCCATCTGTGTGTCCATAGCTGCCTGCCACTGAGAGGAGTAGGGACCCTCTATCGCCTCCGCGTAAGAGCGCGGAGTCGGGATGTCAAGTGCATCCGGGTCTCCCTCAGGGGTAAGCAGTACAGACACGAGATGAGGTGAAGCAGCAGCCAAACACTGGAACTCCTCCTGCCTGTCCTCAAGAACGTCCGTGCCAAGGGCACACTCACCCCCGACGGACGGAGGACAGACAAACTCAGACTCAACGACAAGACTAGCAGCGTAGTCTAGACGACAGCGAGCAGCAAAGTCGACGAGCTCAGCAACTAGGGCAGACGCAGCAGTGGACTCAAAGGAAGGGTCAGTGACGACAGTAGCAAGGAGACGCGTGACAGTAGGACTGGCAGCACGAAGAGAGTCCGACTCCGGGTCGGGAAGAGCAGGAAGAGAGGCGGTAGTAGGGGACCGACTCGTCAAACGTGACGACCTGGGAGGACAGAACACGGCGAGAGGTGGGGTGGTAGAACTGCCACCCTGGCGCGTCAGGGGGGAAGCCAAGGAAGACGCAAGGAGCAGCACGAGGGGACAGCTTGTCCGCAGACAAGTCGCGGACAAACGCCCGAGATCCCCAGACACGGAACGCAGACGCATCGCCAACCTTCCCCGTCCACAGCAAAGCTGGGGAGGTCTCCGGCATGGAGACCCTGGGGTGAAGGTTGATCTGATGCGCCGCGTACCGAACCGCAAACGGCCACAGAAAATGGGGGGCAGCCGCATGCATCATGGACGTACGGGCGACGTCCATGACCATGCCAATGCGGCGCTCAGCAATCCCATTTTGCTGTGGAGAGTCCGGAAGCGTGAAGGTCTGGCGGATGCCTCGTGCACGACAGTAGGCTCGCAGAAGGCCAGAGGAGAACTCTCAACCTCTGTCAGAGTGCAGACGCAGAACAGGAAAGTCCGAGCCGAAGCTCTGCCTGAGCTGGAGACGAGCTGCGCGGATCCAGTCGATCAACACCTCAGTGACATCACCCTTGCTGCGCAAGGGGAAGATTGTGGTGTAACGCGAGTAGTCGTCAACCACCAGCAGGAAGTAGCGCTCGTGACCCTGTCCACGGACGCGGGCCGGGCCCCACACGTCCATGTGAAGCGTCTGCAGCGGGGCCTCTGTCGGAGGAAACTGGGAGGAGTGAGGGGCAGCCCGCTGCCGCCCCTCGACACAAGGGACGCAGGTAGGGCCTGGCCCCGGAGGAAGGGGAGGGAGGGACCGGGGAAGACCAGAGACAAGGACACGGGAGGCCATGCCTCGGAGACGAAGCAGGGAGGGGTGACCAAGGCGGTGGTGCCAGAGGAGAGTCTCGTGCGACAGGAGGCGACACGAACAGGGGGCAGACTCAGGACCAGACCTGGACGCTGCAGCAAACACCTGACCCGACGCAGCTACCTGACCAGACGCAGTGACTGGAGGAGACGCAGTGGTCAGTGTGTACAGGCTCGACCCCGGCCGACGTGTAAACGTGGCCAGGTGTCGGCCTGTCCGAGCGTCCGTGCAGTGGGTCACCCGCTGACTCGCAGGAGTGAACTGGTGAACCCCCGCATCCTGTAGGTCAGCACCACTCACCAAGTTCGTAGAGAACGAGGGGAGGTAAAGACCAGACAGGGTGCCAGAGGGGGCCGCCGGACACGGGAGGACAGTGGAGAAGTGAGCAAGGACAGGACCCCCAGAGGGGTCTGCCAGAGAGACTGCAACTGGCCGGCCAAGCGGCGTGAGTGTGGTGCGGTCTCGAAAGAAGGAGCGAGAAGCCCCTGAGTCAAGGGTGAAGGTGTGGGAGGCCGAAGCCGACGCAGTACCTGAGATAGCAGACTCACCAGCACCTGAGGGAGCAGACACACGAGCACCTAGAGCAGCAGCCTCGCTAGCACCTAGAGCAGCAGCCTCACCAGTACCTAGAGCAGCAGTCTCAATGCCCGGGTCGGGCGGAAAACACCGGTAACAGTCACCCTCATCACTAATAGTCACAGCATACATGGCAGCAAGAATAGCATCAAAGTCAAGGTCAAAGACAGCTACACCCGCCCTAGACAGCTCGCCCCAGCGGGGGATCTCAGTGGCCTCAGGGAACTGGTGACACCAAGCGTCCGTCAGGCGGCCAAAGCAGCGCTGGGTGGAGTGCGCACCCCCGCACTGCTCACCCGCGCGGTCGCCGGTGCGTAGGACGTAGGTGCACGGACCAGTACCCCCACCCCGCTGGCGTGCAGCGTACCACTCACGGAGCTGCTGAGGGGGGGGGATGTCACGAGTGCGCTGCTGCCGCTGCTGCTGCTGCTGCTGGCGCTGACCACCACCGGAGCCGACCCTCTGCGAAGCGCCACCCCGACCAGCTCCACCTCCTCCGCCGCCGCCTCCTCCACCGCCGCCACCTCCGCCACCTCCGCTCCCACCGCCACCGCCGCTGCCGCCTCCGCCTCCACTGCCGCCACCGACACCTCCACCCCCGCCACCACTCCCACCACCACCCCCACCCCCTCCACTGCCTCCACCGCCACCTCCGCCACCCCCGCCAACCCCTCCAGCACCCTTGCCCCCCTTGCCCTTGCCGGTGCGCCGTCTCCCGCTCGGGGCTGACGCAGCGCCGACCGACTCGAAACCAACGAGGTCGGCCGCAGCAGCAGAGGCAACAGAGGGCAAAAGGGGGGAGGGGGAACACCCCTCAAAGACGGGGGTGCGAGGGTCACCACGAGAGGCTCCTACAGCGACTATGCTCTTCTCTGCTGCTAGGAGGGCCTTCTCGAGGAGGTCAACGGTGAGAGTGGTGGGGCAAACTGAGAGGAAGTGGTCCCTGACTACGCGAAGGGAGTCAGGGAGCCGGGTGACTATGTAGTAGAGGGTGATGTACATGGGGGGGGGGTTCTTGGCGCAGAATTCAGCAGGAAGCGCAGCGCGGTAGCGAGTGTCACTAGTGCGGAGGTGCGTAATGAGGTCAGCGACTGTGGGAAAGGCAGCAAGGTCAGGGAAGAGGTACGGTAGCATGAGGCGGCTCAGTGCAGCAGTGGCAGGGGAGGAGTAGCGCGCAACTACAGCGTCGTACAAGGTGTGAGCACTCTTGTACTGGCTAAAGTGCGCACGCTCAGAGGTAGGCAGGTGGCGACGCACAGCAAGACGTGCAGCAGCATCGCGTGTGGCCCACTGTGAGCGAACAGTGGCGTCGGCATCAGCAGCAGGGGCAGGAGAGGCACCAGAGGTGAGGTCAAAGAGGGAGAGACCGTCTGCCCTATCGCACTATAGGAAAAGCTGCAGGTCATCTACCCAGACGTCAAAGTCAATGGCCCGACCCTCAGCGTCAAAAGCGAGGACACTAGGGGTAGCCATGACAGCAGTGGACTAGCAGCGCGAACAGTAGGGTAAGGGCAGTGCAGTGACAGAGGCGCTGCTCTTACCGGCTCGGGCGGCTCGGCGGCTCGGCGGGTCGGCAACTCGGCGGCTCAGGCGGCTCGGGCGGCTCGGCGGTACGGCGGCTCGGCAGCAACTGCGGCTCGGCGACTCGGCGACTCGGGCGGCTCGGGCGGCTCCGCGGTACGGCGGTTCGGCAGCAACTGCAGCTCGGCGGCTCGGCGACCCGGTGGCTCGGGCGGCTCAGGTGGCGCGGCGGCTCGGGCGGCTCGGGTGGATCGGGCGGCTCGGCAGTAGCTCGGCGGCGCCGGCGGCTCGGTGGTGACGGCGGGGCCGCGTGGGGACGGCGGCGGGGCCGGGTGGAGCGGCGGCGAGGCCGGGTGGAGCGGCGTCGGGGCCGGGTGGAGCGGCGTCGGGGCCAGTAGAGGCGGCGCCGGGGCCGGGAAGGACAGCTCCGGGGCCGCAGGGGTAGGCGACGGGGCCAGCAGAGGCGGCGCCGAGGCAGGGAAGGGCGGCGCCGGGGCCGCAGGGGTAGGCGACGGGGCCGCGAGGGCGGCTAGGAGGGGGGGGGGTCGCGAGGGCGGCTTGAAGAGGCCGCGAGGGCGGCTTGAAGAGGCCGCGAGGGCGGCTAGAAAGGGCCGCGAGGGCGGCTAGAAAGGGCCGCGAGGGCGGCGTGAAAGGGCCGCGAGGGCGGCGCGACACGAAGGAGCCGCGAGGGCGGCGGATCGGGGCCGCGAGGGCGGCGCGACGCGGCCGCTAGGGCGGCGCGACGTGAAGGGGCCGCGAGGGCGACGCGACGGGGCCGCAAGCGCGACGCGACGGGGCCGCTAAGGCGGCGCGACAGGGTCGAGAGAGGGGAGCGCGACTCGGGCAGTGGAGAGCGCGCTCCGGGCAGGAAAAAAAATGTGGTGGGCCCTAGGAACAGTTCCCACAGGGGAACCTGCTCGATACCATGAGAAACTGAACGAGAATGAATTGACTAAGGGAAAGTTGGGTACAAAATGCAAACCCTAGAAAACTGTACCCCATATGTGCTACCCCACTATAGCCTACAGTAGCTATGTCATATAAATCTGACAGGTGAGTGCACAGCTTACGATCAAAAGCAACATTTCCACTCATTTAACCCGCTTTCCCTGCTTCATCTCGTAACCCCCCATCACTTCCTCTGCAGACCCGTGTGTTGGCGTGGAGTGTGGGTTACAGGCTCACTGCATTACTCTCACTCATACCGAATTCGAGTGCGATTGCAACAAGCAAGGATTTTACTTCAACGAGCCTGACAAGACGTGCTTCGGTGAGTGCTGCACTCTTGAGGCTTCACGTTAGTATCTCAGCGTTTGAGCGTTTGAACAAGCTGCACTGGGAGGCGCCGCTGAGAGGCTTCACTGGGAGGCGTCGCGGAGAGGCAACGCTTGAAACGTTCACCCCTCGTCACTCATCCTGCACCTTCCTCACCCGCCCCGCCCCCCCCCCCCCCCCCCCCCTCTCCCCCCCTCCCCCGATTCCTTTCCTCTCCTCTCCCATCCCCTGCCTCCAACTTGACGCATCCTGCAACTTCCCCTCCTCAAATCTCCATCATCGTCACGCAACCTGCAGCGGCCACGACCTGGCATCGTCGCATCAACCATCACACCAACGGTCTTAACGGCTGGTCAGCCCCGTTGGTGCGGACGACTGTGGCAGTGTAGGCAAGTGGCAACACCTTCGCGGGCGATAGGGACGCCACCTTCGCCACGCAGGTGCCGGCAGAGCAGGCCAGTGGCAGCAGTGCGTGCGGCAACCTGTACACGGTGCTCAAAGGCGACACCAACATCACCGTCGTGTGGAATACCAATCGCGCCGTGCCTGGCAGCCTCGCGCTTGGCAACGCCATGTGCAAGAGCCTGTCGTTCTACGCTGACGGGGACTGCAAGGAGAAGCTGGACTTCACCATTGCTCGTCCCGTGAAGAAGGGCAGTTCCTACCCCGTCACGAAAAGGTGTGTGGGCATGATGCACATGACTTGTATGATTTATTCCCCTGTGCTTTGCAGCACCTAGTACCAAAAAGACTTTTGAGTCGACTCAAAAGTCATGATGCACATGGCTTGTGTGATTTATTCGACTGTACCAAAAATTGCTTGCCCGTCGCAGTTGTAGCGTGAATGGGGCGAATATCGTAACTCGCCCTCACCATTCGTCTTCCCTATCCTTGCCTATCCCTCTCTCAGGACTGTCAATGGAATCGCTTCGCTGCTATCAGTTGGCTGCGAGATCAGTAAGTGCAAGCGCATGCACGTTACGCTCGGGTTATTGTACTTCGTCTAAAGGGTGTCACGTGCACTAGAGAATATCTCCAAACATGCTAGCATGTGCTTTGCTCATTCTGACAGAATTGATGACACGGGAGAGGTACCGTAAGAGAGAGCAAGACACACACCCAACCTCGTTGTTTTGTTTTTTCCTTTTATCACCTCTGTATGCCTGAGAAGCCATTCTTTTTCTCTGTGTCCTTCAATCGATGCCCACAACAGCCATGTGTGACAATGATTGTGGAGCTGCTGCATGCGTTGTGAAGAAGGGCAAGCCGCAGTGCCAGTGCCCCGAGGGCCTCGTGTTTAACGCAGCTAAGAATCTCTGCCGGGTTGCTCCTCCTCGTAAGTGCCAACAATAATCAAGCTTCTCGTTTATATGTATGGTAACTTGTCATGTATGGTAATTTGCCAGTGTGACACCGGCTGCACAACGAGGAGCAGGCTCTGCACTGGCAGGCTCTGCACTGGCAGGCTCTACCATAGTTTTGTATCATCTCACATCTTACGCTGCTGCCTGCCCTCCAATTCCCCCCTCGTGTTGCAACCATGAACTGATCATTTCCACCTGTAGGGGCCGGTGGACAAGCGAAGAACGGGCGACCCTAGTTGGATGGTCAGAGGGCAAGGAGGCGCAAGCTGGCAGTACCAGAGGGATTCCGTATAATGTGGTTGATGAAGCTGATGGACCATTTGGATAGGGGCTGATGGAGTAGAGGTGCGAGCAACTGCATGCGGTTGCTCGGAGGAGACGAATCAATCTGGTTGATGGTTGGCTGTCATTTAGCGGGTGTGTGTGTGGTAGTAGAATGGGGAATACAAGTGTGTATGTGCTTGCTTGCTGGTATGTTGTACCCAGGGCCCTAGATTCGTTTTGGGACACTCTGATGGGTCAGCGTGCACCCTTCTCTAAACTCTGTCAGTCAGAGTTGCATCCAATTTTGAGTCTGGAAATTCAGACAACACTAGTTTTTTTAGGCTGAAAGTTCAGAGTTACACTCAATTTGAAGGCTGCTGACTTTTATACTTCACCAAAGAAACATTTCAACTATCTGACTCAGATTTTGACACATGGGACTCTACAGCTGCCCGCTGAACTACTGGCTCCTCTATAGTCTCCTTCCCAGCCCTTGGGGGCTCCCTGTGTCTTGCAGCAGGTGCTGTGACTGGCCGGCGCTTCTTATAGCTGTGCCAAATCTCTACTACCCCAGGCTTGCTAGCTCATAGTCTAGCATAGACATACACAGCAGGTCACTGAGCCTACAGTCCTTGATACTGCCCCTCTACCACGTCTTGATGAGATTCTGTCGAGAGAATCCTCTCTCGCACTCGACGGTGCTAAGAGGCAGCACTGCAATCGCCACCCAGAGTCTGACGAGGTTGGGGTATGCTTGCTGCCAGTCAGGTGTCTTGAGAATTGCAGTCAGTCCCGTGTTGAACTTACGCTCGCTCTTAGGAGCTCTGGCCAGGACTGGGCACAGAGTTCGCAGCTCCTTCACGTCACGCTTCTTGTCAATGCCTGCAAGATAAGACAAGGCATGGGATTAGTGAGGGACGGGATGCCAACGGTCGAACGAGCATCCAATGATTAACTGACCTGGCAGAATCTCGTCGGAGTCGTCGGCGCGGAACAGAGTGACTATCGACAACAGCCATTCAAGGCACTGTGCCTGCCGTGCGCTCCTCTCCCAATTCGGTTGCCACAAGTCAGGAATGAAAAGTCGCACGCCGGAAAGAGAGTCGAGGTCGCCGAGCTTTGACTGGAGCTCTTGGACGAGGCCCTCGGCAAAGTCGGTGCAGAGCGCCACACACGCGTCGTGATGACCTGGCCCAAGATAGTTCGCCACTCTGCGCTCGTGAAGGGTGACCTTGAAGCGGTTGAGGCTCCCATCCGACGACGCGCCTTCCACCACCATCTTTGGTGTCCCCTTCGGCCCATGCTTCTCAATGAAGCGATAAAGCCACTCGTTAGGGCCGCCGCCGAAGTCGTCTCCGCAGTCGATGTACCGACTCTCCAAGAGAGACGTTGTGCGCACAATCTGCGTATGCACCAAGGGGTAGTCGAGCTGCCACACAAAAATCAAGAGTAAATTAGTATACGGGTACATGTGTAGATAACACACTGCATGTACTCAAGTTACTTACCTCTCGCTGCTGGAAAACCTTGGAGAGGATGTTGAGGAGCTCTAGAACGTCCGCGAGGAACCGTAGCAGGAACTGAAACCGGTAGGACGTGACGAGCTCGTAAATCGTTTGGTCCTTCCACTCTGACAGCATCACCACGATGGCAGGGAGGACCTCGACCAAGTGGGCGACTGCAGCACCCCTTGAAAGCCACCGCACCTCGTGGATCCCTTGCACCTCGAGATTGGTGGACGTAAAGACCTCCTGCAGCTCCATGAACCGTTGATGCCACGGTGATAATCGCCCCAGGTACTCAGCGACGGCGCGGATGACGTCGTCAACCATGTTGAACGTGGGTATCGCCTCTGCAGCAGCTTTGGCAGCCAAAGCCTCTCTGCACGACGTACAAACAAACAGGATTAGCATATAATAAAAATCATCAACAATGTCTTCACATGAGCCTTAAACATAAACGCACCGGTGAGCAATGCAGTGGAACGAAACCAGGTTGGGGATGAGCATCCGAAGTCGAGCAACCACACCATTGTGGGCCCCCACCATCACCATGGCGCCGTCCGTGCTCACTCCCGAAATACGGCGGAGGTCCACGCCGACAGCCCTGATGTGGGAAAGAAGCAATCAACACAGGGATGCAGCGTCAGCTTTCTCAACCGTGAGGTGAGCAAAGAACTCAGTCACTATTTGATCGTCGCGCAGGAAGGTAGCAGACACAATCATGTGTTTGCCGCGCCGCCGGTCGGTGCTCTCGTCCAGAGTGATCCCGATGAAGGGGCTCGTTAGAAGGTGTTCCAGTTGCGTTGTTTGGAGCCATGTTGCAATTGCCTGTGTTAGTTCCCCGAAGCCGTACCTGTACAAAAAAATCAAGCAGAGGCAGTTAGCGACTGGAAAAGAGAGAAAACCAAGGATTCGGTGGTTACAACCGCCAATACTTACGTATTGTAGTACGTGCCGTACCCCTGCTCTAGAAACCCAGGCACCTTCTTCTTCGCCAGGTAGCGCACTAGCCGAATCCAAGCGTCCATGGGCTCGTTGCACTTGCTCATGAAGTACAGCGAGTCCACGAGCGCCGAAACCTGCAACATCTCCTTGTCCTGCGCTTTCGGGTGTAGGTCAATGCGCTGCTGTCGCCCATACTTCTGCAAGAGGTCCTCCTGCCGCTGCAGTGCAAAACGATGCTTCACCGTCCTTTCATGCTTCTTGAAGGACTGCGTCTGCACGTCGGTCGCGCCCTCACCACGCCGTCCACACTTGCCTGTAAGTCCCGCGAACTCCAAGCATATACTGCACTTAAACCCAGAGGCACCAGAAGCGGTTTTAGTTAGTATCAGCCACGAGTAATCGGTAGACCACTTTGTCTTATAACGAAAGTGAGCTTCTTCGTATTTCAACTCCAACTTGTCGGAGGGAGATTTGTCGGTGGGCTTTGAGCTGTCCTGCATGGGAGATTCGTCACTCGCTGGAGCTTCAACGGTCGATGGAGGAGGTGGAGTTGCCCACGGAAACGTGGTCTGTCGGTACCGCAGCTTCGTCGGTGGCGCGGGACGGGACGGTGCTTCAGCGGATGCCTCATGGGGCACCGACTGTGGCGCAGCGATAATTGGTTCAGTGACGGCCGTGGGCAGAGGTTCAGAGTGCATGGAAACCGGAGGACGACTAGAGCTAGGTTGCGAAGGTGGAGCAGTCGGTGGAACATGATTCGGTAAGCACGACCTAAGAAAGTCCAGGCCAATCAAAGCGTCAGAAACAGGGCGACGATCGGCGTCGTCATCATCGTCGGGCCCTTCGGCGGCAGCGTCTGTGGCTGCCATTGAGTCTGCCGAGCACTGGTTTTGCTAGGTCGAGGAGAGAGAGCCTGAAACAAGGGTTCCGGCACTAGTTTCCGGCATGGAAATTGAATGAAGCGAGAGAGACAGGGCACTAAGTGACCCCCACGAAAGGCGGCGATGAGGAAGATGATAGGTCCTCGTATTTGGACCGCTCATCTCCCTGGTGGTCACTGCATGCACGGCACCTGGTCGTGTGTGCAGGGAAGGTGGGGTGAGTGGGGTGGATGGATGTGGTGACGTGAGAGTAGCAGCGCGCTGCAAGCTATGCGTTGGCAAGGAGGACGGTGGAGGGGGGTGGATGGATGTGGTGTCGTCCGGGTGCAGCGCGCTGCGAGCTATGCGTTGGCAAGGAGGACGGTGGAGGGGGGTGGATGGTTGTGGTGTCGTCCGGGTGCAGCGCGCTGCGAGCTATGCGTTGGCAAGGAATCTTGCCAACACTGCCAACTGCGCAGCCGCGATTGGCTGGAATTGAACCAGATTACAACATTCCTGTACCAACGCGACTGTGCGGTGCCGCGCTCGGGATTTTTTTCGTTTCCCGCCCGTGATTGACGGTGTTTAGTGCAACACGCCGCCAGGCTGGCGGAAACCCCTGCAGTACCCGTTTCAGAGTCCACCCCCGAAACAAGGCTGAGGCTCAGCCTACACTCGTAATTTTTGTCTGAACTTTCAGCCAATATATGAAGAAAAACTCTGAAAAAACAGAGAAGGTACCTAAAAAAACATCATACAGTTCAGACCAGGTACAAAAAAAAAAAGTCTGAACGGACTCTGAATCAGACTAAAAGGTCTGATATCTAGGGCACTGGTTGTACCATAATGTCTACTTCCATTTTCAGATGAATTTATGTATTTGAAAAAAAAATGAAAAGTACAGAGGGATAAATTGGCTTTTCTATTTGTCGTTTGCACTGCAATCCATGCTTCTGCTAATGCTTCTAGTGCACTTTGGCACTTCTTAGGTGTTGATTTGGTACCACCTAGGTGTTGATTTGGTGCGGTAGTCTCCTAGCAGTGACCGGGAAGGCAGTCAGAAGTGCAATGCTCTACTCGTAGCTACAGCAGAACGAACATGAGGGAGTCGCTGTTCCTTACAAGGCTAGTTATGGTACATGCATACCGGTGGTTTGGTTGTGAACAGCACGTAGGAGCTTATCAACAGACTAAGAATAGCAAGTGTCATTTGGGCATTCCACCCACATTCCATCAGCTTCTCTGCTCCGCTTCTCAAACATCTCCCAAGCTCACGACCAAGCAGCCTCCCCTCTAGCTGCATGCCATTCACACTGTACCAACATGTTATCCTCCCTGCGCCACTGCCCCCTGCACTGTGGCACTGTTATCCGCCTCACACTGCTGCTACCTGTGCTGCGCCGCTTGATTCTGTGCGGCTCACAGCAGGCGGGTCTCCACACCCTCCTCTGCCAGATGGGTCTTCACCGACTCTATTGTCACCTGTGGGAGACACACGTGCACATGCAGAGACACAGACAAATGGGCACACGTGCACATGCGGAGACACAGACAAATGGGCACACAGACACACAGACACACGTGCACACAAATGGACAACCCCACAAACGGACACGTGCAAGCATGCACACAAGCGCAAAGACGCGTACACACACACACATATTGGAAGCGGGTTGGGCGCATGGACAGAGAATCAAGAGCACACGCAGCACACTCCCAGGATGGCCAGCCCTTCCCTGGGGAAAATGCAGCACTCCACATGCACCAAACGAGACCCTCACCTCGTTGCCGTGAAAGATGCTGGAAGCCACGGCAGTAGAGGCGCCGTGACAGTGCTAGCGCTGACACACCTACACAGTGCCCTTTCAGTTGAAACCGTCAAATAAACCACCTTCCTCCGGTTGACCGTGCTGGCATGGCATCAGCTAAGCTCCCTTGAATCCCCTCACCTTGTTGCGGTGGAAGATGCCGGCAGCCAGCGCAGCGGAGGCGCCAGTGTGTGCAAAGACCTGCAAGAAGTGCTCTGGGATGCCCGCCCCGCTGCTGGCAATGACGGGGATGCTCACAGCAGAGGAGACCAACTCCACCAGATCCAAGTCGAATCCCTGGCCCTGGCCTGTGACAGGGAGAAGGAAGGGCAGGGGGCAGCGGAGGCACCAGTGTGCGCAAAGACCTGAGAAAATTGCTCTGGGATGCCCGCCCGGCTGCTGGCGATGACGGGGATGCTCACTGCAGTGGAGACCAACTCCACCAGATCCAAGTCGAATCCTTGGCCCTGGCCTAGCCACGTGTATGAAGAAGTGTTTTGAGACGTCTTTTGAGACGTCTCAAAACAAATCCACCAGATCCAAGTCGAATCCTTGGCCCTGGCTTGTGACAGGGAGAAGGAAGGTAAGGGGGCAGCCAAGGCGCCTGTGTGAGCAAAGACCAGGGAGAAGTGCTCTGGGATGCCTGCGCTGCTGCTGGCGATGACGGGGATGCTCACTGCCGAAGACACCGGCTCCACCAGGTCCAAGTCAAAGCCCCGGCCCTGACCTGCCATGGGAAGGGGGCAGCAGAGGCGCCTGTGTGAGCAACGACCAGGGAGAAGTGCTCTGGGATGCCTGCGCTGCTGCTCTGCTGGCGATCACAGGGATGCTCACTGCTGAGGACAGCAGCCCCACCAGGTCCAAGTCGAATCCCTGGGCCTGACCTGCGTGGGGGGAGGGGGAAGAGAAGGAGGGAGGGGGAAGAGAAGTGGGGAGGGGCTGAGAAGGAATTACATGGAGGGTATGAGTTCAAGTCCAGCTGTTGGCGATCACAGGCATGCTCACTGCTGAGGACACCAGTCCCACCAGGTGGAGATCAAAGGCACTGCCTGGGTCACACACATGAACACCCTATGCCTTACCATCATCATCCCAGCTGCTCCACCGCCTGTGCCAGCCAGCCACATGAACACCCTACCTAGCCCTCCTCAGTATGGGTATGTCTATCACGCCTCATCATCCCATCCCATGGCACTCACCATCGAAGTCGATGCAGTTGAGCAGAATCTCCCCCGCCCCCAGCTGCTCCACGACCTGCGCCAGCTCAAACGCCCCTATGGGCCGCCCCTCCCTGCCTCCGCTCGCCTGCAACAGCGGAGGTTACAATGGTCAGAGGGGACGAGAAGACAGCATGGTGAGATGAAAATCACCCGGTCCCACAGTCACATGGCTATCACATGAGCGCCCTTGCCATACATGCACCCACCCACACACACAATGCATAGCACCAGTGCAAGCTTACAGACGCACACGCACGTGTGCACCCGCTTGCAGTGTGCGCACGCGCGCGCGCGGGCACACACACACACACACACGTGACATCATCATTCCTTCCGTCTCACCGTGCACTGGTACCATGCGTACTCCTCCCCGTTGGGGCCTGCATCAGGGGACAGGAAAGACAGGAGGCCACAAGGCATAAGCCACAGGAGGAGGAAGGTTGAGTGGCAAGGTCAGCATAAGAGAGATGAGATGTTATGTGAGAAGAAGTGAGTCGTGGGGCTCAGATGATACAACACATGCACACCAGCAAGCCCGTTTTAACCAAAGACTTGTGGCACACAAGGAGCAGAGGGAGCAGAGCGGGCATGCAGTGCACCTGGCGTTGATGCCTTGACGCATTTGAAAGGCACGTCGTCTGGCAAGGACACGTACACCCTCTTGGGATCTATGCTCACCACCACCGCCTGCGGGGGCAGAAGACAGAGAGGCAGAGAGGCAGAGAGGCCAAGAGAAGACATGGCACCCAGGTGAGGGGAGAGGGAGAGGGGAGAGGGAGAAGATAGCATGAGTGCAGCGGGGAAGAAAAAGGGGGAGAAATCCTCCACGCTAAAGGACAAGATATGGAAACGGGCCATGCAGATTGACTTTGACCTGCAGATTGACTTTGACCTTCAGATTGACTTTGACCTGCAGATTGACTTTGACCTGCAATTTGACTTTGACCTGCACATGACTTCTGAGCATGCATCTGGGATTGATAGGCATTGTGGCATCACCTAGTTGCCTCACAGCCCTCACCTGGTTGCCTCACAGCCCTCACCTGGTTGCCATACACGTAGGAGATCTGCTCTATCCCCGTCTTGCCTGTCTTCTCCTGAACTTGCCGCAACGCACACAGTGAGAGCAACATGGGCAGTGAGGAATGCACACAGCGAGAGCAACACGGGCAGTAAGGAATGCACAAAGTGAGAG